AAGAATTTGACTCCCCAACCTTATGCATTGATTATTAAGCCTTAGAATCTAGGTTATTGCCCGTCGGGGAAGGTTTTGACATGATTTCATGATGGAAGCACTTAGTTGGGGGAGATGATCATATCTATATATCATTAGTGATTAATTTTTGTTTATATTATTTGTTTTAGATCAAGAACAAGCCAAGGCACTTCGTAAGGGGAAAGCTAGGGCTATTTAGAGTTTTCAAGAGGTTTGATTCAAGGTAGGTGATGGTTGTATGTTTTCAGTTTATATATGTATGCATGTCTATTGTTTCGCAGTATCATTTGTGCAATGCATGGTAGGAAGACATATGATATGACATCATGTAGGTAATCTCATGCAATGAACTTGTTATTCTGACTTGTGGTTTCAAGTGGTTTTTCTTATTGTGCTATGTGATTATGCATGATTTTTTTATTGTTGGTTATCTCGGGCACCACATTGGTGTACTAACTATAGATGGCTCAAGCACCACATCAGTACACTAAAATTATGGATGGCTCAAGCTGGTATACTGACATTTGGGTTTGGATTCCATGAGAGGACCATGTATGTGATTGTGGTTTCGTGAGAGAACTGGACATTTGCATTTGTGATCATGTGGGACATGCATCAGGGTATTATTGTTTTATGATATGTGACTAAGAGTCTATGTGGTTTGTTACTTGTTATATGTATTATTCTGTGTTATTGCCTTGTGGAGAATTGTTTACATTTATATTTCGAACTGGTAGTGTGATCCTACCAGTACACTATGGTTTGTGTACTAATATTGCACTTGATCTTTTCCTTGTAGAGTACAAGGCATCTTCCAACAGCTGATCCGAGACCTCAGTTAAGAGATACTTGATTTTGAATCTAAAGGTGAGCTAGATCTTTCAGGCTGTCACAGATTCCTCTGGTTTTCTTGTCCATCTTTTGAGACATAGATATTAGACTTTAGTTTATTTTTAGTATTCGAGGTTGCATCCCCAGTTTGACTGTTTAGAGTTTTGGAATGGTGACTTTTAATTCTTAGGGATTGTTTTTTCGCATTAATTGTTTGGACTATTTGGTTAAGTTTACGGGAACTCAATCCTTTGGTTGTCTAAACTGTTTTATTTCTCATTTATGATAAACTTGGAATTAGTTAAATGGTGTTGGATTGATTTCGGGTTAGTCTTTGGTTCTCCCACCAGGTAGTTGAGTGTGGGTGTCAGTCACGACGGTATGAATCGTGAAAATACTAGAATCATAGAGGTTTTTTCATTAGAGTCTTAGGTGGCAAACCTTGTTACATGCACAACAAAATCAATTGGAACTAGTTATAATGGAAGCTGAGCCAACAACCCCAAGTCAGAGTATGCAAATGTAATTGTCCTAGTCACAGAAAATGACACTTCTAGTATCGTGAGATCAAACATTATTGCAAGATAGGGGTAAAACAGAATGTGGTGCAATTCTTGCACTCAAGCGTGCAGTTTAAAGACTTATCACATGAGGATCCTCAGGCTCAATCTCCAAAAAATTTGGAGATTGCTAATATTTATTAATGGTGCAGAATCAAAATTTTAATACACTAGGATTTTCGCATTTGCAACCTTCCCTTCACATTTTTGATCATCTTTGATTTCGAGTTGCACGTCCACCTACTCCAATCAGTTTCGGGTGAGATGTCATAAGATAAGCATATACTAAGATAGTCTTTTTGGTACCAATCATGTTGTTTTACATTGAGGCTATGATTTAGCTTTTGTGGCTTATAAAATGAAGCTTTGAGGAGAATAGAAGTCATCAGAACATCTCAAGTAGCATGATATTTGTCTTTTGTTCTTATTCCTTAGGATTCATGTAAAAGAACCCTCGAAATCTCCCCTCCCACTTGTATTATTCCTTTCATATTAGAAAATTGTATTCTTGTATTGAACCACCATCTTGGTGTTTTAGCTTAAAGGAAATGAATTTGATTGGCCTAAATCCACTTATCTTTGACTCCTTTTAACAAATTTTACTGTTAATCAAACTAACGATTTTTTGAGTAAACACCAACTTCTCATTGACCAGACAATTTTGTCATATTTTGTCAAGTACCTTGTAATCGCTGAGGATAAAGGTAGACAAAATTCTTCTTTCACGGTCCAAAAGCTCACTCATTCTTTGCAATCTCAGCTCCTTTGATCACAATCGCGGTTACTAGTCTCAACAAGCCACAAATTGTAACACATATTTAAAACGAAGGATGATTTGATACATTTATCTTCACTAGTCTGTCCAAAGTAAAAAAATGTCACACTAATTTATCATTATAACTCACTGAGGTTTATCTTACAATTAGTATGAACAATAATAGTTTTTTTTTTCTTTAAGGATATGATTAAGACTTTGACCAATAACTTTATGACTCAACTTATCATATTAATGTAGAAAGTTTCATGCAAGTTTTTATGTCCACATTTACCTTAGAGTAAAGATGAGCACTCATGTTAAAACAAGTGGCTGTAAAAAATTAGTCAACAATAAAAGCTACTTTTGGTTAACTTTTCACTTTCTCTTGGGTCATTCTTATTAGGAATTGTCCTGAATTTTTAATCTTATTTGGTAACTACATAATTGTATTTTAATTCAATAAAGAATTTTTAGTACAAGAAATTCTCGATAGAAAAAGCTCTTTTATATATATATATATATATATATATATTATTTTCTTGAAGAAAAAGTTTGAACATCTATAAATTAAATGTTAATTTTTTTTCCATAACCACACAATAGCATCCATAGTTTTTGTCTATTAGAGCATTTTGATTAAGGAAAGATTAATCTCTCTATAATTTCAATAGTTTCTTTTAGATTAGTTTTTCATATTTAGGTCATGAATCAACCAAAATCATATCACAAAGTATTTTTTATATTATTTTTTGTCCTCTGATTTACCATCGGCATGTAGATGGTTCAAAATAGGTAGAAAACTTGGTTCAATATGATTTCAAATCAAGTTAGGATCAATTTCGCAATAAAAAAGATTTTGTCTTAGAATACTACATGTGGGGATAAAATTTCAGTCATATTTTTGTTGTTGCATCTTAAAAACTAAAATATTTTTAAATCATGTTTAATCCATAATGATTTTAACATTGTTTTTTAATCATGATAACCAACATTGATATGAAGATTATGTGCAAAACAAAGATTAAAAAAATATCAAAACATTCAGGCCAAGAAGAGATTTAATTTATTCGAATTTATCCTAAAATTTCTACTTATTTGGATTCCACCCAATTGTGTTTTTAATTCAAAAAATTCTCTTGGTAAAAAAGAAACTCTCAATGGAAAACAACTCTTTATATCTATCATTTTTTTTGAAGAAAAAGTTTGAAGTTTTATAAATTGAATACCAGTTTTTCTCGTAAGAACATAGTAACACGATTTCTACCTCATTAAACCCCAAAAAATAGTCATTTAGAGAGTTTTAGTTAATTAGGAAGAGACCGTTCTCTCTATAGTCTTGATATTTTCTTTTATGTTAGCTTCTCATATGTAGGTCATGAATTGATGCGTGCTGTGATTTGTAATTATTAACTTTCGTATAATATTCTGTTATTTCAATTCCAACAATTCTCTCGAGTCTCGACTCTTGTTTGTCATAAATTTTTGAGGTTGAAAGTTGAAAATTTGAGTTTTTGAAATTGTGATTTTGAGAACTTAAAATTGTATTTGAATATGCATTTTATTTAGAAATAAAATTTGTGAAATTTTTCCGTGATCAATTTTCGGATATTTGAAGATCAAATTTTAAAAAATTCAATCCAAAATGTATTGCCAAAAGTTGAACTGAATGAGTTTTTATTTATTTCATACTCTATAAAAAAAAATTAAAAAAAAATTGTCTATGTCAAAGGCTAAAAAGGGGGTTGTTTTATTAAAGTGATATAAATAGTGAAGTTTGGCTAAATGACATCAAATTCAGTCCCGTAAATTCAGAAGGCATTGTCTAGTAATCATGTAAGTGCACGTCTTTCAAGCAATTAAAAATTAATTAATGCACTGAGGAAAGTGATTAGGAATTTTTCTAAAGTAGAAGATTTTTTTATACATGATAATTAAACTAGCCTTTAGTAGTCTAAACCATTTAAAATAAAATAATGCAATAGCACTAGGACCACTACAAGCACCACCTCAAGTAAACAAACATTTCCTCTTCTTCTTATCTTTGTAAAAATAAATGTAAGAAAATTTAATCCCAATTAAAATGGATATTTGTTCAATGTAAGTTTATTGCCAAAAGATTGATAAAAGAAAGAAAAAAAGAAAAGATAAAACAGTTTGGTTATATTAATTTTGGATTAACAAGTGCCAAGTTTAATTAATTTTTCAAGGTTACACTAAAAGCAAAACAAAAATTAATATATTAATAACTCTATGAAACCTACATAGGAGTATATTGTATCTACTTGAACTTCACAAACGGCTAAAAGAACTTCATGTTGGATTGTGTGTCTATATCAAATTATTTAAGTCTTAAAATAAAATAAAACACCCATAGAATGAGCATATTATTGTGGCATTATATTATACTAGGAATAAATAAATATTTTTTTAGCTTTGTGAACTGTGTCTGATAGTTTTGTTGGGACCTTAAATATGTGTTAATATATTTATTCAATTTTAAGTATACATTATTGAATTTGGATCTGGTAAATCAAATCCATTGTAGCTAAATTCTTATCTCGAGATTATAAAATAGTCGTAATTCCTTTCTTCTATTTTTTCAAATAATCTTAATATACCTTCTTTCTTTTGCACAAATATGTTCGACTTGTTCTTAGACAAATTAAACATTATACTATATATATACTTCTAATTCCTTCCTTGTATTTTCTTCAAATAATCTTAAGATACCTTCTTCCTGGACACAAGTATTTTGAATTTATGCAATCATTATTTTCTTTCCCTCAAAGTTAAGTTCCTCTTCAATAAATAAAATCAAAAGGATTTTACTATTAAGATCCAAATAATTGTAGTCAATTTAAAAAAAGAAAAGCAAAAATACCTTTCTTCAAAATAAAAGGTAACAATCATTTTGTCCAAAATAATAGAATTCCAAATATGCCCTCAATATTATAATCATATTTATTCCTCATTATACCACCTCATATAATCCAATAATTCCCCCACGCGCCACCGCAAGTGCGTATATATACACCTCTTTTTTATAAATCTAAAACAATAAACAGCTAATATTACATCATTTCAATGTATAATGTTTCTATATTTATTTACAAAAAAAACTATAATCTTTACAAGTGCGTTAAAACTCCGTTAGTGAAACGTTATTTGTCCACTCATCATGTGAAGGTGACCATAACGGTGACGGTGGTGCCTTCAATTTCTGAAAATACTCCGTTATGTTAATCCCACCTTTCTTCACTTCTTCCGTTACATCTCTTAACGGCAAAAACGGCGGACGTACAACTTCCGTTAACAAATCCCATCTCATCCCCTGAAAAAACTCATGTTCCTTTATCTCCGACGCGCCTCTCCGGTAACCCAACCGGCGCGTGGGATCTTTCTCGAGCAATTTTCCAATCAAATCGGCTAAATCATTCTTCTTTCCAATGAACTCCGGTTCCGCCATCAATATTCTCCTGAACGTTTCCTTCCTATTCTTCCCTTTAAACGGCGTCGTTCCGTATAACATTTCGTAGCACAAAATACCAAGCGCCCACCAATCTACTGAAAATTCATGACCTTCTCCACGTACAATTTCTGGTGCTACGTATTCTTCAGTACCAACAAATGAATTTGAACGTTCGTAAAACGAACTACGATTCCTTCTGCTCACTGGGGATACTCTTGCACTTTTCACTTTCCTTAATCCATTTCGGGTAATGGTTGCGGTATTAGAAATATACTTTGTTTTATTAGGAAGTATGAATTTAGCAAATTGTCTGAATTTGAATGTTTGTGGTTGCGCTGGCGGTGGTGGTGGTTGGAGATTATCGTTTTCTGGATCTGAATAGAATTCGAGATTTTTCTTTGGAGTTAAGCTCGTAGAAAGATCGAAATCTGTTAAAGTAACATGACCAGATTGTTGGACAAGTACGTTCTCAGGTTTCAAATCCCGATAAGCAATGCCTAAACTGTGAAGATGTTCGAGTGCAAGTACAATTTCAGCTATATAAAAACGGATAGCAGTAGGTGAGAAAACATGATCGCTTTGACTGTAACGTAGGACATTAAGGTCACCACCGGGGCAATAAGGGACAGCGTAGCAAAGAAAATCGGAGTTTTCAGTGAATCCGAGGAGAGTAGGGAGGAACGGATGTTGGAGACGGGAAAGTACAGTGGTTTCCCATCGTGCACGACGGTGGATGGCATTAGAAGAAAAATTAGATTTTTCAACAGCTTTGAGAGCGAAAGGAGATAAGGCAGAGGGATCATGGAACATGTCGTGGACAAGAAAGACGGTTCCCATGGCGCCTTTACCTAATACTTTGATGACTCGAAGATTGTTTAGAGTTAAAGACGATGATATGGGAATATCCATTTTTTTGGGGTGAGGAGAGAAAAGAGAAAAGAGAAGAAAGAGAGTGTATTATGTATAGATAGAAGAAGAGATTATAATTACTAGTGTTATTATATAGAGAAGGAAGAGTGTACGTGCGTTTGATTTCAGGCGTTCGTGTGTGTGTGTGTTTTCAGGGAAAAAAAGATAACAGCTAAGGGTGGAAGGAAAAGGTAATTTGCATTGTTGGGGTTTTTTAAATTTTATTTTGGTGTACATATGTATTTAACTAATTAAACAACTCATCCACTGTCATGTGAGGGGAGAAATGAATAATGATTATAGAGATAGAGAGGATATTGTTGTTCATTTCACATAGTTTATTCGGAAAAGGGTCAAAATTACTCCCGAATTATATGAAATAGATCATTTATGTCTTTCGTTACATTTTGGGATCAAAATGCCCCTGCTGTTATTCTAAGAGACCACAAATACCCTCAAGAGTTAACATCCCAAATTTTTGTTGACGTGGGACTAGTCCTTCCACCTAAGCGTTGCCAACTAGGATTCACTACAAAAGAACTAGACCTTTAGCAGCAACAACAGTCGCCACAAAAGACTAGAAAATCGTCACTAAAGTTTTTAACATTAAATTCTAATTTTGTGTTTTTTTCTTCATTGTTTTTAAAAAATCAAATATGATATCAATTAAGTAGGAGTTTGAAGACACTATATGTTTTATTTTTATGTCATATGTAAATGTATAAAATGTACAATGATGCATTATATATATATATATATATATATATATATATAGTAGGAGATTTGAATCGAGAAGTAATTTTGATTATTTTTCGTAATAATATTGGATGTTTTTAATATGGATATTGCAAGTTATTTATTTTAGAAAATTAGGCCGCAATCGAAAATTAATTATCATATTTTTTTGTTGAAAAAATAGGTTTTACTAGCGAATAGTTGTTGGGAGCTTAGTCGCCACTAAAAATCACTCATAACCTTTAGTGACAATATTTTGGGATTTTGTGGCGACTTTGTCGCCACTAAAAGTCAAGTTCTTTTGTAGTGAATCTTAGTTGGCAATGCTTAGGTGGAGGGATTAGTCCCATGTGGCTTGCCACGTCACTAAAAAATTGGGGTGTTAACTCTTGAGGGTATTTGTGGTCTCCTGTGATAACTGCGGGGGTATTTTTGATCCCAAAATGTAATGGAGGGTATAAGTGGTCTATTTCTCATAGTTCAGGGGCAATTTTGATCCTTTTCCGTAGTTTATTTAATATAATTATTTTATATGCGGTAATAACGATATGAGGGTAGAGAGACAATTATAATGTACCCATTAACAATATAAGTGGAGTTTAGGAAAGGGGTTGTTCACATCGTTTTATTCTTCCTACAATATGAGAATGGAAAGATTGTTTTTGATAAATCCTTAAATTCAAATAAAACATTAAAAAAAAAATAAGAAGGGAAAAAGAATATAGTAAAAATATCAAATAGTCTTAAGGAAATGAATCTACTAGTTATAGTAGAATCGAAGTACAAGAAAGTAGGAGGAAAAAAAATAGTAATACCACTTATAAGAGAAAAACAATATATTGCGATCATTTACTACGTAATTTTTTATCCTAATTAATTTTCGAACGTCATATTCTCTTATCTAAAGTCATGTCATTGATAAACTGCAAATATTTCAAGTCTTCTTTAATCACCTCTCCCAATACTTTTTACACTTGCCTTGATCCACCATGGCAAACATCTCTCATTTTCTTATAGAGAAATTTAGATATCTTCTCTTCACATATCTGAATCATCTCAGACTCACTTCTCTTATCTTATTAAACACCAAGGCCACACCCTTTTTCTTACTTTTAATCAATATTAAATATTTTAAATTTTAATAAATGGAGTTTCAAGCTTGCAGCAGGATGTGAACTCTTAATTATGTAGAACAACAATGAGCTGTTTCTTAATTAACTACCAATAGAATCCCTTCAATTTCGAAGTTGTCCATCGTATAGTCGTGCATAAATTGTGTTGCATTTGTTTTATATTTGACTTGAAAATATAAAATGGAAGGAAAATAAATGAAGTCGAAAAATTCAACGGTGCAAAATTTAATTTTTATGCTCCACACATTCAAAGAAAGTTCCTACAATGATACAATAATATTAACTCTACAATATCATACATATGCAGTTTATTAAAAAATAATATAATAGCATTAAATTATGACTGATCACTGACTGTGATTTAACAATGAGAAAAATCAATCAAAATTTTAATTGGTGATGCTATGGGTCTCATGATCGATCTGTTAGCAATTAATAATATACAGCTGCTATAACAAATAAATATCAACCAACACACGTATGCATTATAGATGTACATAGTTTATTTGGCTTAATACAAATCTAGCCATTTAAATTTTTGATATTTTTATTTATACACTTAAATAAAACTTCGTTTCAATTGAATATTTTTGTGCAAATTTAAATTATTATTTTTATATGTTCTCACTTATTTGTAAGATTGTTAAATTAATCACATAATGTCGTTTTTTTAATTATACGCATTTATCTCAATAAGCCATAAAACTCAAGACATTTTATACTTGAGGATTATGCGTCCAATTAAAGAATATGACATATTGAATTTAGTTAACTTGATCATCTAATAGTCGAATGAAAACACATTATTTTATTTTTTAAATTTTAAATCAAAAGTGTCGAATATGAAGATGACTTTACTACACTTATTTATAGTTCGAAATTTCACTCAAAGGATTCTAGTACTATCGACTTTGCACAAGATTAAGTTACACATTTTTTCCATATCCTTTTTAGATGTTTTATTCTTTACCTTTAGTAATGTGCAATCAATTATTTGCCATCTTTCCTTATTCTCATTTCTTTCTTTCTCTTTAGATCTAAGCGATAGTATTAATTAATATTTGAATTGCTTAGTTAAAAAATAATTAATATATTTAAATATCTAAATGAAATATCCTTATAAAATTTATATTAAGCCTTTTTTTCCTTGTTATTTTCTCAAGTGCCCATTTTAATAAGGATAGATAGATTCCACCCCCATGTTAGGGTATTTAGTATCATGAGTTGGCTTGAGGTACGCATGTTTTTTTCTAGAAAGACATGAAAAAAGAACACACGTGTAAAGACTTTATTTTATTAAAGAGAGAAGTAAAGGAAGGAAAATAAAAATTACTGTGAAGGGAACTAAAACTTTAGAAACATAAATTGGGGAGACTCTTTTGTAAAAATACATGACGAATTGGAGGGCTCGTTTAGTTTGAGAAATAAGAGATTACTAATTTTAGAATTAATTTAGAATTATTTTATCTCATGTTTGATTTAAAAAATTATGAATAACTTATTTTGAAATTAGTTATATCGAGATTATAATATTATTTTTATTTCATATATTAAGAAGAATAATAATTCAGACATAACTAATTCTGAGATGACTTTGTTTCCAACCAAACAAATGTTAATAGTACAATTTATGATGGCTGAAGAGATAGTGAAATAACCTTAAATAGTCATATTTTGATAGATTTACCTAATCTTAACATAAATAGTCATATTTTGATAGGTTTACCTAATCTCAACAAAGAAAGTGGTAATTAAATGTGAGTTTTGTGTATTCACAATTTTTAGTTCTATATGTGTGTTACGAGTTACGACTTTATAAATCTTTTTTGTTGAACCAAGCCCTATGAACGTATTGACTTTTTTTTTTTATATAAATAATTTTTTTTAACAAATCTTAGTGACACAATTATATTTTTTACTTTATTTTTAGTTTTTATTCAATGTTTGGGGTCCGCATTGGAGTTTCGACTAAATGCGGACCACGCACAACAAAGCTCATTCAAGGATATTGGCACTCCCAACATAATTTTCTCCATACTCAGGGCTCAAATTCGAAACCTCTAATTAAATATGAAATAGTGACACTATTACAACATAATTGTGACAAAATTTTAATCGATACCTCAAAATGCATACCAAACACAAATAAAAGTTGGTTTATGCCCCTAATTGTGTTTCTTAAAGTTCATCCTCCCTTTTTTATGTTATTCCCTTTAACCCTTTATCTTTCCTTTTTTTTTTTGTTTCTCTTTTTGCAAGGGGACAAAAAATTGGATGTGTACGGTTATCACATGGGGCTACCATAATCTAAGGGAACTACAAGCGTGGCTTTGTGGATAAATTTTAGGGACTTGTTGGACTCTTTGTAATTTTTTTAAACTTTAATTATTGTAAGCATTATTTATTTATTTTTGTTAAGAATTGAGATCATTAAATAAATATTTAATGTTGTATCGCATGAAAAATACATATAATAAAAGGAATGGTATTATTAGAGCAAAAATACTGCATTGCGTAAGGAAATCTTAATCTTCACCTAACTAATATGTCGTACAAGCTTCACTACCCTACTATTTTTTTTCTTAGTGATTTTGTTTTATAATCTTTTATTAGGTATTGACAAGTATTAATCAACAAAACATCGTTATTACAGTATTGATTATTAGTAAAGTTGCTATCATTTGAAAGTAGTTGGAGATTCAAAAGAAAGGGGATTAGTTTGATCAAGTACTTAAATGTGATTAATTACTTACTAATACCATTTAATTTTCATCTTGTTATTTGATAATTCTTGGTGATTGCCACTAATATAAGGTATTAGGAGTACTTTGTAGCTGAAAGTCCTCATAATATAATCCAACTTGAAGAGATAAAAAGGTATACTATATAGGTAATGAATGATGCTTCAGTTCTTTTACTTTCATCCATTTATTCTCTTTTTTTATTACCGCAAGAAAATACTTCTTTAGTTTATTTTTATATGTCCATCATTTAAAAAAATATTGAATACTATTGTAACAAAATATAAATATTAATTATTATTTCTTAAGAAACATATACAGTTAAATTGTGACCAGCGTCATCGATTAAAATTAGAAAGAGGGACCCATTTATATATATTTGGATGTACAT